TCTCTGGCCAGGCGTTGAACTTGTGCTGAAGCGGCTGCAGCTAGCTTCATAGTGCTGCGCTTTAACCACCACCAGGCAGGGCCCTTAATTGGGTTTCTGTCCTATGAAACCAAGAGTTCAGATACCTTGTAAACAAACAAGAACAATCACCCAGCAACAGAACCTAGAAAGGACTTTACACCATCAGATACAAGAGGAAAATCGAGTACTTCATTGAGAGGGAATGGTGACATTAGAGGATTGTGCATCTGGGAAGTGACCCTTGACCTGAGTGACCTTTGGTCTGAAGCTGGCTGGATTGTTATTGCTCATGCTTTAGGATTTAGGTCACTTGTAGACTTTGGCATAGAGAGGGAAAATGTCTGACATGCACACTACCTAAGGAAGCACACTGGTCCGGAGCTCTGGATACTTTGGCACTACCCAGCTGCCAGGGAGGACAGGTGTGCACGTCAGTACACCAGTGTCCATAGCCAGCACGGAGGACGCTCGTAGAATAAGAAGGCCAGCACAAGCAACAAAAAGGCTTGCCTCAATGTTTATGGCTTTGCTGTCCCACCCAGCTGTCAAGGGCATTGTATCTCTGGAGTGACGACAGCTTGTGACTACTTATTCCCTAAAACCCGGGTCTCCACGCTCTGCTCCCACACGCCCTGGGTGTATACACAGTTCCCAGGCACCTCAGGATGTTTTCAGTTTTCAAGGAAACACAGTGATATAAATATCTGTCAGATGCTACGCAGACACGGACCCACAGTTCCAACATCAGACCATGTGCATTCTTCTCAGTGATGTCATCGAGCTGCACAGCAACCATTTACTTCTGGCAGTCGTTATGATGAAAGCACAAAACTCAGAGGGAAACAAGAAGTGAGATAGGGTCGACCAGTCGGTTCCTAAAGTTTGAGAAGTTGCGCTAATGGGAACACATGTCTCCATTGGCTAGTAGTTGTGACTACCTGCGAGTGAGAGGAAAATAATATTTTCTAATTCACAGTATAATTTCTTCAAATAGCTACTATGTTCTTAAGATGGAAATATTGGTTAAGATGTTTGTGTTAGCTTCATAATAGACTTGTAGTTATGTAATGAAAGAGATGCTGGGAAAAATTACGAAGATCCAGGGGTGCGGTGAAGGGAGAAGTTAGGTGCCTCTGCACTAAGGCACTCCTGGACCCCAAATCCTCACCAATAGGAGGTGGGGTGTTAAAGGTGCACCCTCCAAAAGGACCAGCCTGGGCCTCCCTGGTGGTGCAGCAGTCAAAGACGGTGCTTTCATGCTGTCCGCAGTTCGATCCCCGGCTGGCCAGGGAGCTGACCACATGGCTGGCAGACCTCTCCTGACCCGCCCGCTGCTCCCCTCAGCAGTGGATTTCCATACATCTGCCTGCTCCGCTCCCCACTCTGTCTCTGGTGAGCCTCTCACCTTCCCCACACCTCCGGCCTACACCCCAACTCTTGTATGCAGAAATAAATAAATCTTTAAAAACAAACAAAAAACCCAAAGGGCCAGCCTGCCGCATGTTCTCTCCAGTGTCACCACGGAGGACAAGAAAAGGACGGGGCCGAGTGTGTCCGCAGGGGCTGACGGAGGTGCCGCACCCCCACCGCCTGGGTCTCCAGGAAGGGGTCACGCGTGTAAGGACTGATGTCATCTCAGCCCTTTGATAGTAATGGTATCGGCGAAAGATACTGGGCACCCAGGGAGTTATCCACGGACTTTTTCTTTGTAAGTCAGTATTAAGACTGAACCAACTTTGGAGGGTCCTGAGATTACAAGATGCCCTCTGGCAGTGGCCATCGTGAAGCTGAAAATACAGGGTATTACTTATCAGACCTGGAAGTGCCACACCAGGGCCACGGGAAGGTGGCAGGTGGGAGAGAGTATGGCTCCAGGGTTCTGTTGGGGTTGAGGGTGGGATGTCTGGGCATAGTGACTGTTGATGAATTTAAAACATAAAGAGCTGGAATTTCTGGAAGCCAAAGGGAGAGAGAGATGTGAAGGAAAAGGAAAAGACACAAGTCAGACTCAACCAGTCCGGGAGGACTTCCTGGGCCTCCCTGGCGGGGCAGCGGGTTAAAGCACAGCACTGTGAACCCATCCGAAGCCGCTGCAACACGAGTTCGATCCCGGCCAGGGACCTGACCCGCATGGCGCAGCAGACCTCTCGTGACCCGCCGCTGCTCCCCTCGGCAGTGTGTTTCGGTACATCTGCCTGTTCTGCTCCGTAACCTGTCTTTAGTGAATCCTCTCACCACCACCACCACCCACACCTCTGGCCGATACCCCAGTTCTTGTATGCATAAGTAAATAACGCTTAAAACAAACAAAAAAAGGCATCACCACAACCTGCGTCCATGTCTGGTGTGTGTCTGCATGTGTTCATGCCAGGGAGAACTCTGGGTGGGTGCCTGGGCATCGAAACCTACTTCAGTCACTTGCTTTACAAAAATAAAGGTCAAGTGTCACAGTTTTTACTGCATACCTGCTTGCTTCCCTGTATCTTCCGTTCAGTGGAACTTTCTAAAGTGGATAATCAAACATTCCCCACCCTGACTATATTAAACACATTCAGGGTGCTAACATTTACCATGTGGATGTAGGTGCCCGGCCTGTGAAAGGCTGCATTTAGACTTGATGAAGGATGCATAGGGCCTAGAGGCCCTGGCTTAGGAAATTGCTCACCTGCTAGGAGACCCTCCTGTTGACTTGCTTTAGGAAAGAGGTAACCATATGAGTGGTTACAGGTGGGAATCATGTTAGTGTTTTGTCCCAACTTCTGTGACCGGCCGCAAGAAAGGAAGGCAGGAGGCAGAAAGGCTGAGCAAGCAGAGTTTATTGCTCCCAGACAGCAGCTGAGACAGAGCCCCTAGGGTGGGGTCCGCAGCTACTGCCCACTCAATAAGGGGGAAGGGTCTCTTAGATAGGTCCTAAGCTCAGATTCCCAAGGGGTGACTCATCGCTGTGTCCTTGATGTGAGGCCCAGTTCACTGTCACCTTCAGCTAGTCCCATCCCAGATGCAAGGTCAGTTTATTACCACCTTATCAAGCTTGGATGCAAGGCTCAGTTCTTTACCGCCCTAATTCAGTCCTTGTCAGTAAATCTTTGGTCACTCCCAACAGTTAGGAGGGGGATACATACTAGAAATCACTCACTAGGAAAAGACAAGTGTGTGTGGGCATACATGGCGGGCCAGCCAAGGGACGGACTGTATCAGGCCAGGAGTCTTTTAATTGAGAAACTGCCCCTCACCCCAGCATTGCTGTGCTCTCTGGATGATTCCATCCCTGTGGGTCTTGCCCTCTGGCCACAAGAATGTACATACACAAATCTGGGTTCCTCCCCTAGATTTGGTGTATGGACTCTGGGTAAGAAAAAGTCACTCTTTTCTTATGGGCTTACAAGGACCACAGAGAGTGACATTTGACACCATACTGAGAAAACACTTGAGGATGAAGCCAAGTGGAAGCTTAGCAGGGTGTGGGACAGAGTTCTGATTTTATCATTAAGTTCAACTTCCTGGATTTTCTCGAGCCAGCTTTAACCCAGTCTGCATTTCTGTCACTGAGCTAAAATCTCCTTTTAGTGCCATCACTGGTTATTCAAAGAGCTCTGAGGAATAATTTTACTAACATGGCTCCTTAAGGAAACCAAATAAAGAACTGGGCTGGAAAGCCAAGCTATGAGACTATGTGCTTATCTCTTCTGCAGGCAAAGCTGTGATGATTGGTATTTTCAGGAGGCTCCCAGGCATTCTTGGTTATGGACATTCTGGAATCCTGCCTGCAACGCAGGGGCCCAGTTTCACCTTGCATAGTTAGATGATGTCTCTTCAGCACATAATTGCCTAGGTCTCCTTGAAGTGAAAATTAAAATGATTTTCTCCCATTTGCCTTGCCAGTCGGAAAACAGGGCCAAGGGCTTTTAAGAACCGGAATTGTGGTTCTGTGACTGTCAAGTGATGACATCACCCTTCAGGGGATGATTCCTTTATGCCCTTGCTGGACACAGCTGAAGGCAAACCCTCTCACAAGGAACAAAATGCACACAGAGGGCTGGGTGAGTCTTTGTAGACTGAAGCCTTTATAAGGTGATTGGCAGGGTCAAGTGGCCGCTGTTCAGAGGGCAGCAAGCCCTGTTCATTGGCATGTTGCCAGGCAATCCTGCCCATGAGGATGTTTCTGTGAGCCTGTGCGAGAGGCTTTTCCAAACGACCTAGACTCCCTAGCCTGGACCCCTGTTCCTGGGAGCCAAGGATGAGAAGCTCCCTGGCCAATGGGGGCCCCAGACCCCAACCCTCTTGGTAGGTTGTATCTCCAGGTGCGGTCATACTCAGGGGCAAAGGAGGCTTTGGGGAGAAGGACAGGCTTTCTCAGAACATAACCTCTGGCTGAAATGTGCGCTTGCTATTTTGGAAGTACTCCACGCAAGCCATTCTGAACTCTTTTCTAGCAGATTTTACTATGCCTGGCAGATAAATTCTATTTAGCAATATCTTTCTAGCACATACCTGCTTCTGTTCCCCACTCTGCTCCCAGCTGACCTGTGATTGGATGGTGGTGTTCTGGTTTCTGCCGGAGATCAAGTTTCGGGACTACGCCCCAGAGGAAGTTGAAGCAATGCTTATTAGCAGAAGTGTGAAGTGTGTTAAAAGAGCTGTGGGCCTTGGGAGAGCGAAAAGGAAGCTCTTGGAGCCTGAAGGAACCAGATAAAATGGGCCAAGCTTTGTCTATAGCGCTCTATGAAAGGGTGTGTCACAGGCCTTATTCCGCCTCTCCTCTGCCTTCTATATCTCCAAATGTATTTAGGGGTAGGATTGCAACAGGGGGTCCCTAGGAAAAGGGGAAGTTCCAGGCTCCCTGCCCCACCCAGAAGGAGGGTGGAGCTGAGCAGAGAAAAAAGAGAAGAGAAGGAATCTGAGAAGAAGGCAGCAGGATGGAGAGCCAGAAGGAGACCTGAGGAAGCCACATGGAGCAAGGAGCATGTGAGGAAGAAACCGGGCTTGTTTCCTGGCCCTGGACTGGTGAAGGCAGATGTGGGTGAGATACCTGTAAGGGAGGTGACTCTGGCAGCGTTTATCTTGATTTTGATGTTGCTCTTTTCCTCCCAGACTTGTCTGGCCATTTCTGACCCTTTTCCATGGGTCCGGCCAGAAGGTGCTTTAGTCTTGTGGCAGCTTTCAGGCCTTGCTTTGGGCCAGTCCCTTTTGGGGGGACTTTTTGCCCTCAAGGGGATGGGTCACTTCAGGTGTTTGATTTAGAAGTTACATTCTTTGTGTTCCGTATTGTATATTCACTGTATTAAAGTCCCTTTTCATTAAAGTTTTATATGTCATGTCTTGATGCGGCGGATGGCAGAACCCACTTAGAGCAGGCAGGTTTGGGTCTTCGGGGTGTCCCTCTCCCTGCCCTGTAACAGGATCATTCAAGGGGCAACAAAATTAAAATGAGACCACCAGTTGGTGGTCTCTCATCCTCATGGATGCCCTTGGAAGAAGCAGCTCTTCCCCCGTGCTCCCCCACAGCCCCCACACAGAGAAGAAGATGGCTTCTGCAATCCCAGGAGAAAGGCCACATAACAACAATAAAAGCCCAGCCCAACCCTGCTGCTGACTTGCTCTTAGGCTTCTGGCCCCAGAACTATGAGGAAATATGATTCTGTCACCCAGCCCCCCTGGGGCAGCCCTCATGGATGGATTCAGGGTACAAGCAAAAGCTGATTCTGGAACAGAATCAATTCGAGTGACACCCAGGCAGTCTGCCTCTGAACTTCCCACCCTCAGAGGGCAACTTGGTTGGTGCCTTTGCCCGACATAGCTGTGTCTTTTCATCCCATTTTAGATCCATTTTCTGGTGGTGTCGTTACCGGACTATGACGACCTGGCTCTTAATGATTCTTCTCCTTTTGTGCCTTCACCTGCTCAACATGTGGAGAATTGGTTATGCCTTCTGTCAGTGACTTATCCAAGCTACTCATATTTCTGCTGTAAAGTTCACCATGTGAGTCCCAGGCTTTAATCGGTAAATTTAAATTGCTAATATGCTACTTGTCTGGCTGTTCTTTACAAAGTGGCATTTGGGGGTGTTTTCTCTTTTCAACTCAGAAGAAGTGAAGGGACCGATTGTTGAATTCTTCTTCTTTTGAATTCTTCCCCTGCCAACTGGCTTGGGGAAGTCCAAGACACAAGGCTCTATATTTAGAGGGGCTCTTTCTAGGGGCGTGGAAATGTTCTTCGCGGTCCTAAATATATGTCAGAGCACACTATTGTCCAATTTTTGTCCTTAAGTCAATGCAAAAGACAAAGAGGGCCAGGGGATGAAAATCATTCAGTGGGTTAGTGGGTATCGCCATGGAGACCAGAAAACGCATCATTTCTATGGAGACCCTCCAGATCTCACTATCTGAAACTACAGTGGTATATAATGTGTTGTCATTTTAAACTGAGGGTGGAGCGAACGTGATAAGAGAGCGTAAGGATGAGAGAATCACCTTTTTCTTAATGGAAATTATAACTACCGTGCATCTATGTTTATTTAGCAGAGGGATCGTAAATTTCTGAAGTGTGGACTCAGGAAGCTAGGATGGGAGAAGGTGCCCCAAGACCCAGTATTTCTGTGTTCAGCACAGCAGGTGTCTGGCAGTAGCTGGCATTCGAAGTATGTGTTAATATCTAAAAGAATGCAGGGGCCAGGGCAGGCACACTCTGGCACTCAGGCTGGTCAGTGACTGCCCAGGGACCTGCACCTCCTGCTGCTAAAGCAAAGAGAGAGGGAACCTGGGAGTTTCTGCCTTTGAGTGGGCCAATCAGTAGCTCCTGACATAGCCTCTTTCTTCTCTTTCAAGGAAAATGGTGCTCCACTGTCTAACTGGTTAAAGGAGGAAACAAAGTTCTGTCTGGTGAGGAGATAAAAAGGGTTTAGGGACATAGACCAGTTAATGGCCGCAAGTCACCGGAAACCTACCAGTTCTTAACCTCCTAACCTGTATTCACTTGTGGGTTGCTGATGACATTTTTTAAAAAAGGTTTATTTTATTTATTTATGCAGACAAGAGCTGGGGTGCAGGCCAGAGGTGGGGAGGGGAGGATTCACCAGAGACAGAGTGGGGAGCAGAACAGGCAAATGGACTGAAATCCACTGCCGAGGGAGCAGCGGGGAGCCGGGATTGGTCTGCTGAGCCCTGTGGGTCACTCCCTTCCACTGAGACTTAGCCTCTAGGCCACCAGGGAGGCCCTGGTCCCTCCCTTAAGGTGGAAATTAACCCACTGTGTCAGGCCCTAGGGTTTTTGTTTCCTGTTAATGCCTCAGCTCAGAATCCTAACACTTCTTCCCACACGTCTAGTTTCTTCCTTCTTATCTTGTTGCGACATCATTGCCCTGACCTGCTGACCCTAAGAGGCGATTTCCTAGCAGATGATCTCTACTGGATGGCTACTGACAGAAAAGAAAAGCCAACACCTTTAATTACAAGGAGAGTTAATTACCTTTAATTAACTACATCTTGGTGTATCTGCATCCAGGTCTTTCTACTTTCGCACCTATACATACGACTTCATATTTCAGTATCATTTCATATATATGAAGTAGCCTGAGATCAAACTGCAAGTAGTTTTTGTACTTTCCTTTTTTTTTTTAAGATTTATTTATTTTTGCATATAGAACTGGAGTACAGGCCAGAGGTGCAGGGGCGGTGAGAGGCTTCACCAGAGGCACAATGGGGAGCAGAACAGGCCAACGGGCGAGGTACACTGCTGAGGGGAGCAGCGGACGGGTCAGGAGAGGTCTGCTGCACCCTGTGGGTCACCTCCGGGCAGGATCAAACCCGCCGGCTTGCAGTGCTGTGTCCTAACCCATTGTGCCACCAGGGAGGGCCTGTACTTTGCTTTTTAAAAACGGTATGTAATGAAAATTTCTTTGTTATTTATTCATGCTGAATACATTATAATTTTTAATTACCATGTAGTACTATCTTAACAATCAAGACTTTTTTTTTTTTTAAAAGATTTATTTATTTGTACATACAGAACTGGGGTACAGGCCAGAGGCTCAGGGGCAGTGAGAGGCTTCACCAGAGACAGAGTGGGGAGCAGAACAGGCAGATGGACGAAGTACACTGCTGAGGGGAGCAGCGGGCGGGTCAGGAGAGGTCTGCCGCGCCATGTGGTCACCTCTCTGGCAGGCGGGAATCGAACTCATGTGGAAGCGGCTTTAGATTCTCAGTGTTGTGCTTTAACCCGCTGCGCCACCAGGGAGGGCCACAATCAAGATTTTTAACCTGTTCCCAGCTTCTCCACAATGATAAACATCATGGTGCTTATCTTTTGGTTGTTTCCTTAGGAACTGTTACTCGAAGTAGGCTGTCTGTGGAAGTGTTCCACGTTTTCATGTCTCATGTTCTTGCTTTTCCGTGGATGTTTTCCAGGGTCACAAAATTTACACTACATGGTAAGCTGCTAGGTGTTAGGGTTCATGTTTCTCACTTTGTATTTGCCACGTTCTCTGGGGGTGGTGAGGGTGGGGCTCCTGGAGAGCAAGGAAAAAACAGGGTCATTTCCAAAGAGAAAAGCAGGGCTTCAGCCCTTGCCCCGTGCAGATCGCCAGAGGGAACCGGCAGCCTAGGAAAATACAGTGACACTCCAGAGAATCAACACCCCTTAGCTGGGTGGAGAAAGCTTAGGGGCTTAGGGGTTCCCCCAGTTGCTGAACATTTGGAGGCTCATTTTTATTTGCCCATGGTGCAAGCTGGGTGTCCAGGGGCAGGGCGAGGGTGATTCAGGGGCATGTTCCCAACACCCTCAAGTGCCTGGATCACCGCTGGGGCTGCCACTGTCATCCAAATAAAACTTTCTGGAGCAGAAATGATTCTAATTCTTTACTCCGTCACTGGAGAACAGGTGACAAATAAGTGGAGACAGAGCTGGGGCCTAGGAGGGCCTGGGGCTTCTGCAGGAGCCCCCAAACGAAAGGGAGAGAGCTGGGAATGACAAGGCTTCCCGCCATTGTCTTCCCTCTTTTCTTCGTTTTCCCTTCTCCAGCATCCCCCC